CTTGGGATGAGTTATAGTGCCAGTCTTCAAAGACTATTCATTAGTGCTTTATAAGATATTAAGAATTGTATTTTTAGGCAATTGTCTCACAATTAGCCTCAGAAGGGAGATGGTTACGACTAAGCCATGCTTACAAATAAATTCATGACAACTTCTTCTGGGCATTCATTACTGGCAAAGTCAACACATGCATTTACTGCAGATTTTTCTACTGTAGTGTATCCATTGTATGATAATGGAGGATTTAGGAAATTTATTTGCTCTTAAAAATTGTCATTAGATTTGGCTGACCTGTATATAGATAGTCTATTCTACAAACAAAATGAAAATTCTGCAGAACTCAAATGACAAAATGTTATTTGTCATTTGCTATGGTCTATATACACCATCATCCCTCCACAGAGTCTTTCCATACAGGGTCAATTCCTGGTTGCCTTCCTTATGCAGCCAGTCCCAGCAGCATGCACATGTTTTAAGAGAAGTCAGAATTTATAGTGGACTGTAAAACTTTGATGGATTTGCTTCCTAGCAGGATTATGCCTGCAGGTCACAGTGGAACCATTCACATAAAGATTGCCAAAGTCAAAATAAAATAAATGCGAAAAGATACAATATTGTTCCTGACTATCCATAGACAATGAGACCTTCCAATCCTGAGATAATTGTATTTCTAATTTAAAAGGTAGATAAGGGAAAAGTGTAAAGCTGAGAGAGAATTTCAGGCAAAAGATTTATAAATCCATCAGATTTTTTTCCCCAATAAGAACCATCATATTAGCAATTAGTACAAGCATCCCTTCCCAATCTCATAAAAAAAAAACACTACTTAAAAATTCAGCATGAGAACCTGCCTGCTCACGAACTCCTGCTCTCAAATCATGAGATTTTAAGAATTGGATCACTTGGATTCATTCGATAAGCCAGTCATTTGCAGCAGGCTAGTCCTCCAAAGCTTGTGAGAAGCCTCCAGCCTGCATACACTCAAGATTGCTCTGTAAGAAAAAGAGCTAGTAGCTGCTTCTTTAATTGAAAGGTAAAAATCTCATGTAATCCTATGATTCCAGAAGCTTAGACAACATGGAGAAATAATTAGGGAAGAAACTGAAATCACAAGTGGCAACACAGACATGTTAAAGAGTGTTTTCAAATTGTAAAGTATGGAAAACATTCAAACCTCTTAGTAAAATGAATGCTGCTGAATACTTAAACCTGTCAAGCCCTCAAGTATTCAGAGAAAATTAATATCCTCAATGAAAAAACGAATTCCTACAGAGAGCAAAGGAAGCATGAAGTAACTGAATTACTGGTATCATGTAAATCTTTCAATATACAAGGAATAATTAAAACAACAACAACAACAACAACAAAATATTGGATCATAATCCCACTATCACTGAGTTACATTGTTATTTTGATGTAGATTTTGGTGCAGCACAGATATGCAATTCTACAACTGATTCTCAAAGAAGGGAGGGAATAGTTAAAATAGCTACTCATCAAAGTCTGACTTGTCACGTAGGCAATGAATATTTCTGCTGGAAATTCACTTGTTTTCTTTTTTACAGCCATGGCATATCTAGGTCTACCTCAGATTAGAAACATTAACTATTCTGGGTGTGATTCCTTTGTTAGTTCAGGGAATATCTCTAATGCCTGAGCAATCGAGGGCATCCTAAGAGTAGTTATAATGAACTTAAAGAAGCGTAACAACGCATATATCAAAAACAGGTCTGACAAACTTAAAGTAGTAGTAAATGAATGCTAGTGGGACACCATTGTGCTATCTTGTAAACTCTCTCATCTTCTTGCTGGTTAATTTTTCTGCCATGAAGCACGTCTAACAAAGGCAGGCTTTAACCTACTTTATATTCATAACGATTCATGCAAATTTACCTCTTTTTGAGGCAGGGGGTCAAGTGTTTCAAGTTCATTCTGCAGTGAGGAATATCTGCATAGACTTTTGCAGTATAATAATGAGAGGTTTTGCAGAGACATTAAAAATCAAGACCCACAAAAATAGACAAAGCATTTGTGGATGAAACCCTCCACTAGCATATAAAACTCATAACAAGGTATCTGATAAGGATGATAAGTACATTTTCAAATTTAGTATTTACCCTCCCATCTTGTGTCTTTTTTTTTTGTTTTTTTTCAACGTAGGGTTCAGCACTGAAGTGATAGAACAGCTCTCTGCTGGGGACAAAGGCAGCACAGGCATGCACCACAAGAGCTATGGCTCTGGCAAGGAACTTCAATATAAATTTGCTACACATCTATTTTTTCCAAATATAAGGCTTTGCTGGCTGGCAGCCAATCATGCAGGAATTGCCAAGCGCTCTGTAGATCGAGCAATTATAATTCTCTGTGCAGTGCCACTAGACCACCTGCACATTCATGTGGGATGCGAGTCATATCGAACCCAGATCTCAGGAGATGAATGCTATTTAGTATCAAACTCTTCTTCGTTATCTTTTATCATCATTAAGGAACAGCATTTATAATTGCACCTAACAGACAACTCAGCATAGAGACAGCCAGCAGCTGGACCTAGTGATGTAAAATGCAGAGTTGATGCTATGTTCATTTTTGGAGGAGAATAAAATACAACTATACAAAGCTTCCATTTCCATGCATCATGTTAGCACCCTGTTGGAGCTAGAAGTGCATCATGCTTTGTGTTGATATAGATATTGAGAACATCAAATTCTGTTTCAAATAATGCTGCCAACATTTCCATGGGAGCATATCTGTAATTTGTTACTAATCAATTCAAAAAGATTATTTAATAGAAGGTTTTACTTAAAAAAAACAAACAAACAAACAAAAAAAACCAACACAAAACTAGAAAATAAAAATGCAATGATGTCACATGAGTCATCGTTTTCTCTTAAGAATCAAAAGTCCATGACCAGAAATGAGGGGGAAAACAGCTCCACCATTACTTAGATGGGTAGCTAGGACCATTAGCAAGTGCCTTACTCTGTCTAAACATAATATAGAAAACTATGAAAGAATCCAATAGCCCTTTATGCTTTATGCTACTGTGGTTCCATAAATGGAAATTTCTATGAAATGTGCCTGCTTTTAACCAGGTGATATACAAATAATTGCATGGCGGTTCACTGAAAATGAATGAGTCACTTTGTAAACTTCCCTTCTAAGAGTCAACGCTCAGAACCACACGTACTTCAACACAGAGTAACACAACCTCAATTTCTGTCTGGGCTTAATGGCAAAGTAACATTGCATGGCAACCAACTGTTTCCTATTGGAGGAACGAAGCCTTGACAAATGCCCTGGCTCCTGGAGGGACACCTCTGTCAGCTTGCTTAGTGCAGCACTCAGCATCCAGTCACGAGAACAGAACGGACTCCTCAGGGTTAAAGAGAGGAGGTCTCTCTGCTAACTACACTCCATGTGTCATCTCTTTGCAATAATGTGAAATACCATTTTTGACATAGGAGTTTACAACTAATTTCCATCAGAAAGCACATTGCAACAACTGTATCACATGCACACTTTTTAAAATATTGGTCATAATCTGGTCGTTTTCTTAGTCATAACCAGGTATGGAACACGTAAATAATTTGAAGCAAAAGATCATTTTAGTGCAAAACTCTCTAACGGTTTCTGCAATAGCGGGCAATGGCATGGCTTAGATGAGCAGCAGGGAACCAGGCAGGAGAAACACCAGAGCAGCGCAGAGACCAAGTGATGCCCAGACGAGCATCATCCCCCATATTCTCCCAGCAGATCCGCTCCAGCTTCTGGAGCGCTGGGGAAGCGCTGGCGTTGGCATTTCCCGTCTGCCCGAGCCCTGGCACCGCTCAGCAGCGCTGGGGCGAGGCAGCGCTTCCCTGCCCGCAGCAGGTGAGCGAGGGCAGGCGGCAGCGCAGGAGCCGTGCACCGCAGCCGTAGCGGTGCGGGTAGGGCCGGGCTGGGGCAGCTCTGGGCGCACAGAGCGCGGCTGCTCTGGAAGCGGCCAGCTCTAGCAGCGAACAGAGGGTGCGCGGCTCCTGCTTTGCGCGGAACGTGTCGTTTTAAGCACACGCACACAAAAAGGAAATAAAACACAAAAACGGGACAGCGTGGCTCTCGTGCAAAATGAAAAGCTTGCTACGCGGTTTCATCACAGAAAAAGGACAACAATAAGGACGAGTACTCAGGTAAAGAGAACAACTTCTGACCTTGAAATTGCGTGCTAAATAAATTACCTCAGAGCGAAAGTGGTGCGTTCTCATGACAGCATCTGTAAGGAAGCAGAGGTCAGGGCTGCGCTCGGGCCGCCGCTCCCCGCCCTCCCCCACCCCGCGCCCGCCGGCGTTTATCTTTAATGCACCCCGAGAAGTTGGGCGCGAAGTTGCGCGGCGCCCCGGGGCCGCCGGCCCCTCACCCCTCCCGCCCTCCCGCCGCGTTACACGGGGATGGGCGGCGACGCGGCTGCCGCAGTCCCGGGCCCTCCGCGCGGCGCCGCCGGGCCGCTGCCCGCCTGCTCACCTCGGCTCCGCGAGCGGCCCGAGAAGACGGATTTGATGGGGTGCCTGCCCTTCTGCAGCCTGCGGTGCCAGCAGCAGAAGAATAGAATGGTGGCGATGGTGCCCAGCAGCAGCAGGAGCAAGAAGAGGGCGCACTGGATGCTGTAGGGTCTCAGCAGGACCAGGAACGCCGCCGCGATCATGGCTCAGCCGTGCGGCTGCCGCCGTGCGAGCGCGACGGTGCGGGGAGCCGGGCAGCCTCTCCCCCCGGCAGCGGGGCGGGCATCGCTGCCGGCCCTGCGCTGCTGGAGCCGGCGGGAGGCGGGGGCGGAGGAGGGAGGAGGAGGAGCGGGCGGGCTCGGGGCTGTGACTCAGCAGCGGCAGCGGTTGCGGTTGCGGTGGGGTTTCCCTTCGCGCGGCTCCGAGGAGCGGGCGCGGCGCGCTGGGCGCCCGCGGGCACCGGCGGGTGGGGCGTGCCCCGCATGGCAGCCGGGGGAGGAGGGGAAGAGGAGGAGGAGGAAGAAGAAGAGCACCGCGGGGCTGCGCGGCCGCGGCGGCCGGTGACATCACGCGCGGAGCTGCTGCAGAGGGAGGCGGAAAATGGCTGCTGCCAGGTACCCCCGGGCGGGAGCGGGAGGGAACGGGCCAGGTGCCGGCGGGTGCGGGAGGCGAAGCGGCGAGAAGGGCGGGAGGGGAGCTGAGCGCCTGGTTCCGAGCCGCCGTTTGTGCCGCCGCACTCGGCGCCCAGGGCGGGCCGTGCCATCCGGGCCGGGACCGGGCGGCCGTGTGCGCCTTCACGGGGCGCTGAGGGAACGCCGTTATAAAACGCGTTGCTGCGCTCAAAGGCGATTCCCGTGCTGAACGTGGATCCGTCTTGGGCGTGAGCGCCAGAGGAAGGATTCTGGAGCTTCGTAGGATAAAGAACGGATCTCTGCGGGGATGTCGGAGTAACGCTGAGGTGTCACCGCGCTCTCAGGTGCGCGCACGAAGGCGTGCGGCCACTTCCAGCCCGCAGAAGGTAGGGCAGGAAGGGCGGGCAGAGGGAAGCAGGCTGTGGTGGCTGAAATCAGAAGGGGAAACGTGATCGTTGTGGTGCAGAAGGCCCTTTATCGCTGAGCGATAATAACGCTGTTATATCGCTGTGACTCCTTACTGTCAGGGAAACCTGTTTTCAGTGGGAGATTCTTGGCGCCAGCTGTGGCAGCCGGTATAGAAGTAATATCTTGACGCTATTTTACCTCAGGAATTTTACATCGTTTCATAACGTACAGCAGTTTATCTCCACAAAATACAACCTGCCACCTGACTTCTTAAGGCGGGCGGCTGCAATCCGGCAGCCTTTGATTTAAAGCTTCCCTTCGCTCGCTGGGGGCTGACGGACGCCGCGGGGCTGTGTTGTGTCACGTGACGCCACGCCGAAATCCGCCAGTACCGCAGTACTGCAGCGCGGCTTTAATGCAGATTACCTGGAGATCGCCGTACCGCCCCGTGTCACCCGGCTGCAGCGCGAGGTGAAGCGCTGCGACGTCCCCAGCTTTGCTGCAGTACCTTGCGGGAACTTCTCAGCACTTGATTTATATTGTTTTATAATGGGATGTTCTGGGAAACGCAGCACAGAGGTGACTGCACGGGGAGTTGCAGAGAACTCACGCTTCACCGCTGACAAATCTGTAATGCTTGGCTGCTGCCTTAAAGTTTGCAGCTTTTCCTGTCTAAGCCCTAGAGCACATTCATGTCCTGAAGATAACATTTTGCCGAGAAGCTATGATAAATTACATGGCAGCAGCTTAATTTTTTTCATATTCAGGACAGAATTCAGTCTTGTACAAGAAATGCTGATGTGTGGTTTGTTCAAAGAGCTGCTGCTCCAGGCTTTAGAGCCTACATTCTCATGCACGCCATGCTGCTGCTATGGTTTTCTTAATGCTTATTACTAATGTCTCTTTGTTAAATACTGTGGGATTGCAGTGCGTGGTTAAAATGCTGCTTTTGTAGTGAAGTTTGATGTAGTAGTGAACAATAAAGTTTGAAGTTTGGGTTTTGGCATTAGAAATAAGCGAGCAATACGTGTCTAGGTTATTCCAAATAGTAATTAGGACAAATCATAGTAATTCTTTGAGATACAGTGTTTTTTAATATGAACTTCTTTTCAGAATGTTTTTCAGGGAACATTTCATAAATCTTAAGAATGACAAACAGAGAAGAGAAAAGGAATGAGGAGAGAAAGTTAAAGAAAGCCATTGGCTCCCACCTGAGATTTGACCTCAGAAGGAGAATCCTGGAGGTGAACAGGACGTGACTCAGACAAGAAGAAGTGAAAGAAGGTAACCAATTTTTAAGGCTGATTGTGGAAAGAGCAGATCAGAACAGAGATTTGAGTTGTTGAGAGGCTGAGGCAAATCTGATGAGGTCTTACAAATTTGGAACTTAGACCTTGCAGAAAGTACGGGGTTCTGCTATTTCAGGATATGCGTGATATGGCTGTAGTTTTGCAGTGATATGCGGTGGTGGGAGGCAGCATCCTGTGATGCTTGTTTCAGTAGGGCCCACAGAGCAACCGAGCAGCTGCAAAGTCACAGCCATAGTTGAAGTTTGCAGAAGGAGGCTTAGAAGCAGCCTTTTGCTTTAGCAACGCTGAGGGAGGAAGCAGCGAGATGTGCGTGGGCAAGAGGGAGGGGAAGGGAAGGTTCTGCTTCACAGGCTCCACTAAAAGAAGTGACTTGCAAATATTTGCAGTGACAAGGGACAGCGTAGTACAGGATAATGTTTCTTAGGTTGCAGTCACTCGAGGCAGCTGCTTACCTATTTTTAAAAGCTATGGGAAGCACAGAAGCAGCAAGCCTTACATTTGAGTTCTCCAGTTTAATGGAAGAATTGAGCAGGGAATGTGATGCAGCAACAGCCATCTTCCTGTCGAGAAACAAGTCAGTGTTGACCTAAAGTATTTTTCCACTCTGTATCTCACAGAATCCTGTTCTGACTTTGCAGTCTTGCCTAGCAGGGCTGAAGACAGGGATCCTTTCTTCCCTCCCCCTTGCCCCGTATGCAGAATTGCACAGCAGCTCTTTAAAAAGAAACTCTTACCTGAGTACAAGGGGTTAGACTATAAGGAGAAAACAAATTGGGGGAAAAAAAAAAAGTTGAAAATATCATAGAATTTCAGGTAGATAAACCATATGAACAAAGACCTGCTGACCTCCTACAGTGTAAGTTGTGGCATTCAAGGGGACTCAGCAGTCTGAGAAGTCATCACTGCTCTTGCTGCTTTGGGCCTTGTGGATTTCATTTGACAATTGCAAAGCTCTCTGTATCAGCAAGCCAAAAGAAGAAAGTCAGATGGTAGATCTGGTGATGCAGACATAAGAATAGGAGATGACATGTGATACGATTTCAAAAGAGTAGTGAAAGAGTAAGTTTTTAGCTGAAAAAATAAGTGAAAGGATAAGATCCTTTCTCTCTTCTGTGCTTCAAGGACCATGTTTCTGCTAACTAATTATAATTAAGTATTCTGCTTAAATAACAACTGGTTAGAAGGATTCTCTAATCATGAAATACTTCTTAACAAAATATTTAGTAATTTTCTAATCAAGTAGGAACCCAGAAGCAACATAAGTAAATACGGAAAATATCATACTGTGTGTATTAGCAACTTCATTCAAAGGCATAATTGACCTTTTCCCCTCAAAATTGTTCTTCAGGGGTCACACTCTGTCTTCAGCGTGGTCTCTAGCAGTTTAAGTATGATGTATGAGTGTATGTTGTGAGGATTTCTGGTAGATGATTAAACCTTCTAAAATACATTCTTCAGCTGAAAGAATATCAATCTTTATCTTGATAAAAGCATCAGGTTTCAACAATTTGTTATCTGAAATGATGTGTTCTAAATTCAGCAAAGCTGTTGAAAATCTTCATTCTGCTGAACTGATTAAAATTTTTTGCTCCATACAATGCTTTGTATGTTTGGTCAGCATATTACTGCTATTTAATTCTAGCACTATCCTTGAAATTTAAGTACATATTACTATTTCAAATCATTTGAAAAGAGAAGCTGAACTGTAAAGGTTACACGACCCACTCAGGACAAAGTGGTTTAATTTAAGTGCTGCAGGACATGACTGGGAAATTTTGCAGTCTGCAAGTATTTCAGGTGATGGTGGAAAACCAAGTTCCTGCCTCCTTAATATATGCAGAGGTAATTGTCCTCATTGTGTGAGCTGATAAACCTTCAGAACTTGCTGTTTTATCTCTCTGTTTATTGGACTGGATGTAATCACATGGCATAGGAGCCATGCAGCTGTCGACTCACAGCATAGAGCATTGCTGGGAAAATGCTGGCAGGAATTCTGTGGGCAAAAATTGACTTTGCAGATAGATGGCTGATTTTGAGCCTAGATAGAAATGTATGTAAAGCTCCACAGCTTTTTTTTTTTTTTTTTTTTTTTCCCTATTACAGCACTGGTATGCCCATATGTCCTTGGTTAAAATTTGTTCTGTTCCCTGTTCATTTTTGGCAGTGTCTAATGTAGCAGTTGTCAATTTGAATATGGTACTGCATCCCAGAGGGAATTGCACTTTATTAGTTGCTTAAGGATTGCTTCAGACCAATATTGGTCTTTCAGCTATTACATTAATTAAGTTGAACTGTGAATGCTAAGATGACATTTAATTTTACAGGACAAGAAAAAATAGATATAATAAGGTCTAAGCTTTTTTTGTTCTCTCAGGGGTATACCTTTCTGTAAATTCTCCTAAGTGCATACAGAACTACTCTTGGTTGCATTAATATTCCCTGAAGTAATTGGACAACATATATGTCTCCTGTTCTAACTCATGAACTCTAATAGCAATAAGGATTTGTTTAATTTTTCTTTTTAACTGGATAGCATCAAGTTCATTCCTCCCCACTGATACACAGAGAAACCGGAGCAATTAAGGAATGTCTTTGGAGTAAAAGAGTGTCATCCAGGCATGACTTCTAGCCTATTATCACTCACCTATGGCAGCCAATAAAGACACATGAGTAGAGATAGCTAAGATGCCACTGGATTATTACATACTGACCAGAGATCAAGCACGGAATTTCTAGCTGCTGTTTCACTTCTATGCTCTTGTGGCTGCATGTATTATGTTTCTCATAGTAATGCTTTGGGCAGCACAGTTTATCAGAATATATGATAGATTATGCCACCAAAAAGAATAAGATGCCTCCTCTTACAGACTCTCACACCAGTTTGCTAGTGAGTTTGAACACTGCATTAGTTGCATATGGAAACTTGTGATACTTTTTCAGCCTTTTATATGTTTCTTTGGAGTGTGTTAAGGAAATAGTATTTGGTTGTTACACAGAGCAAATGCACAGCTTTTGCACCTCAGCACAGATTTGCATCTGATCAAACTTTCCCTGACTGAATAACTTCAATAACTGAAGCCTAGAGAGCAATTCTCTTATTTTTTACATTTAGTGCCAATTTGAGATGCCTGGAGTTAGCAACCATCCTTATGAGCATGGAAGACGGTCTTGGCCCTATGTACAGTGCTTATAAGAAAGGGTAGTTGGAAGCTGGCATAACAATGTTAGAATCTAAGATAGCTCCGTTCATTTATTTTTAGGCAACTTAACTCTGCCTTTGAGCATTTGAAATAAGCTGAATTTCTCTCCCCTTGGCTTTGGTTAAATTCAGTAGTGGCTTGGTTCTTTTGAGTGATGGAGGTATTTCAGGCTGAGGCATCTGCACAGGTAGTTGTGATGAGAGACCCATGGAAGACTTGCACTTCTGAAGTAGTAGCTGAAAACTAAGCACAACATCACAGAGCGCTGGCACTAGTCACCTACATTTGGGCAGCCAAATTGATCCCTAGTTCTCCCTCCAGTGATGACAGTAACTTAGATGCCTAGTACACCAGTGACAGCTCAACCATAATCTAGAACTGAATCTCATCCTTAAAGCCTAAAAATAATGCCAAATTGCTATCTTTAAATTTAAGTGAACACTATTTTTCACTATTAGCTGAGTAAGTTATTAGAACAAAAGTTAAGTTCTCCAAGAGGTATTAAATATATCTATCTTCTTGATAAATTCATTATTCTTCCTTTACTGTCACTCGGTATTACACAACAGAAGTATGCAATTTGAAGCAGAAATTAAACTATCTCCAAATACTTTCTTCAAACTTGTAACTTAAGCCACAGTCCTGCAAAGGTCTTTGGCATATTTGAGTATTGGTGCTATTTTATAGAACTTCTAGGTTGCTAAAACTGTCAGCACATAGGATACTGCCTTGGAAAAGAATAATTGCTTTGTGGTGTCTGTGGGCCAAACACATGGAGTTTAGCAAGTAGGACAAGATACAGGCCAAATTCTGTATGTAACTGTGTGGATTCCAAATGCTACTGTGACTTTGAAGTCAATGAGACATTCTGTGTAAATAAGGCTAAATGATGTTGCTTAACTATGAATAGCATCGCTTCTTAAAAAGTATCTGTGATTATTCTGAGGCTAGTTATACTTGGGTAATAATCTACAGCCAGGAGGTGAGCTACTAGTAATAAGAACCACGTTGTTTTGTCTTTCCTGTTAGTGGAAGACAAGTGGGATCATTCCTGCATATTTACAGCCTTGAAAGTTACAGAAATGTTCTGATACCTGCTCCCTGAGGTTTCCAGATGATTTTCAAACACCAAAATGCAAGAATATCTGTGCTATATATCTGTACTTTTAAGTCATGCTTTCCCATAAAATGACTAAGATATTACACAGAAAATATTTTGAGCACTGTATTCTAACACTGTCTATTCCATTGAAATCATTAGTCAATCTTCCTTTGGTTTCAGGGTAGTAAGATTAGAAGCTACTGAAGGTCATATAGCATATTTAAATAGAGTCATATTTTCCATCATTAATTTGTTACAGAGAACCAGGAATTCTGCTACTTTAGTGCAGGCCAGGAGTTTCGTGTTAACAGTATGTTTAATGTCCTGACAATTTCAATGTAAAATGCCATCATCAAAATAACTCAGACCAAGTCTGATGCTGCTATTCATCATGCTGAAGTGAACTAAATAATGAGATAAATGAATTTCTAGTCCACTAAATGTTTGGGGGTTTGTTTGTTTGTTTTCGTGGTTGGTTGGTTTTGAATTTTGGAGTTGTTGTTTTGTTCCTCCTTTCTCTCCTCCCCCTGAAAAACTGGGATTAACAATGGCTGAACGTAGAGGGTAGACTATATAAAATGCTAGCTCTTCATTAGGAGACTGTGCTTACATGGTTGCAGTACAGTTTCTTGTTTTGCTGAAATTAGTGGCAAAGCTCTATTTTAAGCCACAGTAGAATCAGACCCATTGAGTAGGCCTACAATCTCATGTCGTAAATGTGTCATACTTTACACTACATTACTGAAAGGAAAGAGAAATAATTATCTCAGCATGCCATCTGCCAACTCAATCTGAATGGAACAGAGTATGTCAGTCAAAGGGTGAGATATGTCTTTAAATGACTTCTGTGGGGATTTTTGTTGTTGTTCTGTCTTTTGGGGTTGCTTAGTAACAGTATTCTGTGTGCAAATTTGTAGCATCTGTGCAGAATGAAAGATGTTAACACTTTTGTTAAAATTAAGTCCAGTTAATGTTTTCTGTGCAGAGCCTTACAATTAAATGGCTTCTTCTGTATTTTTTTCCCTCTACAAATCACTTTAGAAAAAGATATGTGTCTTGAACAGTGTCAAATCATAAGTTAACATTTCAGTACTTCTCAAATAAGTAGCCAGTGTTTTCAAATGGAGAAGACAGCAGAATTAAGCAACTTGAACACAAGCGGCTTTGAGAGGCTGTGTAATTCTGTCTCTGTGGTCAGTAGTTGCACTCTGGGAAATGTCTGTGAACAGTTAAGTCTTCCAATTAAACCACTGAATACAGCGCTTACAGTCCAAAATCTTACTGGATGACTTGCAGAACTGTGTAGGAAAGATTTAAAACAGACAACCAATCAGATACGCTTTAGCAGACTTCATCCTTTTAGCTTCATATAGCATGAGGTCAACTGGAATCTATCCCTCAGCTTCAAATTAATATAGAATGGGTTGGAGCAAGCCAACTTTATAAAGACACAGCTTAGCCGCATATGGTCACTGAATGATAGTCAGTGGAGAGAAATAGGCTCTCACAGACAGTAGGTCATCTGCTCTCTGAGATGCATTTTTAGGGTGAGATGAATCACCTCTCTTTCTGCAGAGGTGGGGAGAGCCAAGTGTGACTAGACAACCTCTCATTTTTAAAGCTAGTGAAAGTAAAATGAATCTTGTTCCACATTTTTATTTCTGTTTTTTGTGGTGATACAGTATATTTCACCTTTGATCTGTTTTGACAAAGAAAACATTTTAGAGAGGCATCTGAAGTCCTTAGACAGGTGAGAGGACAGTTGAGAAAATGCTGCTGGACTTCTCTTCCAGTAAGTGAAATATTTTTCTGTTCCTTTTCTTCATTAGGGACATTTTGTTCTACCTTTCCATTCTCCTTAATCACAGGCTGGAGATGATGCCAGCAGGCAGTTAGATATTATCCCCAGGGTCCCTGAGTTGTCGTAATAAATTCTGTGAAAATACACAGTTTGATTAATGTGTACTGAGGGAGCTGAGGCCATACCTTCAATAACAGAAAAATGCTAACGCTAATTATTGCACTCTGTTCCTTTTATTTGGCAATATAATAGTTCTGTCATTTTATATGTAATGTAAGCAGCTAAGCTGATGCCTGGAGGAGCTGCAGCAGAGGAGGGGCACCTGGCCAGCCTCTGTTGTTCCCTTGAACTGCCCTCCTGCCTTAGCACCTTCAAAGCAGCAGAAGTAGCAGGGCTGAGTGCAGGCCTCATAAAGCTGCCAAGGAGCTTTCTGACTTCTTGCATGAGTTAAGGGAATGGATATTTCTCATTTCTGCTCCTGTGACTCTGTGAAATCCATTCCTAATTTCTCTCTGAATCCAATGTAGCTTATACTTTAACTTGGCAACTGTTAAGATGCGTAGTGAAATCAGCTTCTCTGTTTACTAGTACACCCTCCCACCATAGGCAAGAATCTTGACAGCTCGAAAGAGCTTTTTAGATGATTTAGACAAATTACTGAGCTCTGAGCCCTGCAGTGTTCATGGTGCAAATTCTCCCTAGCTTTGACGAGCAGATTGGTTTTGTCAGCACTTCCTGTTTGTCCTGCCATCTTGTCCTGGAGCTCTCTTCATGGATCCAGGTGTATGAGGCCCATGCATATCTCTTTCTTCTCCTCCACCTTGGATAGGTTGTTTGGTGTAAAGACTGAGAGGAATTATATATGCCACGTACCACACAGTCCACAGCTGCCCCAAGCAACATCTGTGGGCTCTGAACATCCAGAAATCCACATATCAATTGATCTTACTAAGCTCCAGAGCTCTGGGCAATCATCACTGATCTTTCAGGATTTGAATCACTTGTGCATTCAGTACTTACCTGGAACTGGCAGGTAACCCCTCACTAGCTCAGAGGGGTATTTGTCTCAGTACAAAGTAAGGGACAAAACACAGCGACATTCTGTTAGAGGCAGGGAAACACAAAAAAGCACAGTTTGCTTAATCAGCTTGTAGTCTTAGTACATTGACTTTGCTGCAAGTCTCTTGACATAATGTGGGCTTTTAGGGGAGTAATGGAGAAGCTCACAACTATCAAGAGCCAAACAACAGAAGGGAGTAAAAGTCTGCTGGCTGAATCTGCCATGTGGTTCTGGAAGTTAATACCTTCATGCTGAAGATGAAAAAATATTGACGTTGCATGTATGGTTTGTATTAAATCTAATATAGTGTTGTTTGAACCAACATCCCATTTAATTTTGGATCTTTGGCTTTTCTTCCTTTGGCTTCTGCCTTGTCTGGGTGTTCGTTCATTTGAATGATTCCTTTCTGTGCAGTGAGGATCCACTCAGTGTGGATATGTGACAGAATTGGGCCTCTGGTGATTTATGCTGGGCATTGACTGTCTTCTCTCCAGGATTTACATGGGATAGATTTTTCTTTAAACAAAATTAATGTGAATTCTTGCAAACACAGTCTCCTTTCTTTAGCAGTTCAGTAGTTAACAATCCTTCTACTGTCACACCTAAATACATTCTGCAGAAAAGCAGGATTTAATATTCTTTTTAATGATCATTTCTTATGCAGTTTACCTCTTTATCAATTAACATGCTGACAAGTGCACAGTTGTCTTACGCAAGTTAACAAGTTCAACTCTGCATGAAAAGCCAGTTCTTTGGAGGCATAGCATAGACATCATGAATAGTGGTGAGCTGGGCTTCTGCAGGTAAATGGACATTGCTTCTTCCAGCACTGCAGACAGATTTTCTCATTTTGACATAACAGCCCCACTTAATTCTCTCCTAGCTCTGAGTTCCCTTTTTGATAGCATCTGTGTAAGGCACTATGTTTTCTTCTGACTGATCGAAGCCAAATAAATTACAGATCCCACTGTCACATCTGGGAATTCTTGAGTTTGTAGCTCTTTGAACTGACAGGCCAACTCATATGTTTGTTGGAAAGAAAACCAAAGTTTGACAAAATCAGTTTATCTGTTTCAAGAGTTTTAAAATGGAAGATATCTTCCCTGAGTATAGTGTCAGCTGTTTACATTTTGAATAGAGTTTAATAACTCTTTGAAAGGATAGATGATGGCAGGACAAGGGGAAATGGTTTTAAGTTGAAGGAGGGGGGGATTTAAGCTGGATATCAGGGGGAAGCTCTTTACTATGAGAGTGGTGAGGCGCTGGAACAGGCTGCCCAAAGAGGCTGTGGATGCCCCATCCCTGAAGGTGTTCAAAACTAGGTTGGATAGGGCCCTGGGCAGCCTGGTCTAGTATTGAATGTGGAGGTTGGTGGCCCTGCCTGCAGCGGGGGGATTGGAGCTTCATGATCCTTGAGATCCCTTCCAACCCTGGCCATTCTGTGTTTCTGTGATTCTGTAATGATATTACATTATCATTACATACAGTATTACATTATTCACTTTTGTGTGAGGCGTATCAACTTAATTAGAAAAACAGAACACCAGGTATTACTTATTTCCTTCTCTCAGTGTAGAGCATTAGCTCTTTAGAAGGTGTTACTATTAGCCCTTAGCTTTAACAGCATTGTTTCACGTAGGCAGAGGATTTATCTGTATATAAGGATCTGTGTTCTCATTGTTGCTGTTACACTTCAGTCAGCAGAGCTGACTTCCTCAGCCTATAGTTTCTTCAGTACATCAAGTTTTCCACTGTCAGAATGTGTCATACTTCATCCAGCCAGTTGTCCTGAGTTGTTCTGGGATTGTCAGTTGTAGTGCCACAAGATGACTAATACCGTCCTGGAAGTCACGCATCCCTTTTAACAGCAAATGGAACCAGTGCTTTCCTTCATTCTAGAGAAGCTTTGGTCATAGCTGTATCTTTTGGTCTGAGGCTGGATGGTCACTGACACTGAAAACTTTTGTTAAGGTAAATGTGGTAACAGACATCATGGGGAGGAGATCAATTAGGTGTGACAGTAACATGGAAGCAGTGGTTCTGTAAGTAAAAGCTGTTTACTGCAAATATTTTTTGAGATAATTTTCTTTCTGATGTTGATGTATTGAGCAGACCACCTCCATCTTTCAGGGAAGATAAAACATGCTGCTTGGCTAGTTTTCGCTTCTTTATCCGAAGTATTTTCACAATCCAGGAATAAGAACTTATTGAGGGGAAGGGGTTTAAAGTATTCTTGTAACATTCCTGTGGTGCGATGCAATAACAGTTATTTTTCCTGTGACACCCTACAGGCTGTCTGTATGACAAAAAAACATTTAAAATGAAAAAATTCACGCTGTTTGATTTTATAAATGACAACTCACTGCAAATTGGAGAGACTTCATGGATTCAGAATCTTCCCAGTGATGACAGTGAACTAGAAGGATTTCTGAAACCAAATGAACATGTGCTGGTAAACTGGCCTGTGGCAGAAAGAAAGACAGAAAAGCATCTAGTGAAAGTTGTATACATGAGTGGTGAGTGCAGATGCAGAGCATTTGTCTGATAATAGATTTTAATCTAATTATGAAGTTTTGCTACGTAATTTTCTGTGCTTTGATCTCTTTTTCAATTTGTTTCAGATGATCCCCAAGAGCTGGTAGACATGATGCAGAAGATACTACAAGAGGATGAAATTACAAAAATACAAGTCCTTGGAAAAGGCAAGAGGAAGAGGATAGAAATGATATTCTCAGAAAGCGAAGACAGTGACCTGGGTAAAAAACAGGTGAGTTTCTGTCTTTTATGTGCCTGAAATTGGTATGCCCATAACATAATGAAACAGAGCAAAAATATTTATTCTTTACAGTATAATACAATTAATATGGATAGTAAAGGCAATCTTCATGTGATACCTCAGCAAAATAACCTATTGGAGCAGTTAGGTCCATTCTCTTTTACTGTTAAGAGAGGGAAGTATTATTCAAGACTTCAGGGCCTGCACGAAAGCAGGAGAGGGACTTTTTACAAGGGCAGGTAATGATATGACAAGGGCTAATAGCTTTATATTGAAAGAGGGAAGATTTAGTTACATCTATGGAAGAAATTCTTTACTCAGAGAGCAGTGAGGCACTGGTACAGACTGCCTGGAGAAGCTATGGATGTCCCATCCCTGGAGGTGTTCAAGGCAGGGCTGGATGGGGTGTGGATAACCTGGTTTAGTGGAATGTGTACCTGCCAAGGTAGGGAGTTGGAACTTGGATGATCTGTAAGTTTCCTTCCAACCAGAAGACTTTTGTGATTTTGTGATTCTGTTTACTCCAATAGGACAGAGGTCTGACAACAGCAGAAGTAGAGGCTGGGTTTGCTGAGCTTTGCATTGTGCTGAAATGTGCAGTAACATAATGTGGGGAAAGACATATATTACTGACTTATGATTTGTTTTTCATAAATACTGCTAATGTTATGTGCAGAGTGAATAAAAGTTCACAATATGCTGTGAGATTACACTGAAAGTCTCTGTATGACTGCAAAGATGCTGTTATGCTCTTGTTCATAGCAGAAGATGATGAAGCATATAAAAAGAAAAAAAGCATTTCAGGCATCTGCTCCTGCCAGCATCCTGAGTCAACTTGAAACGTCTTTAATTAACAAACAGGTAATCTCATTTTCAGCAGTTTCAATCTAGTAAGCAAAAGCCAACTGAGATGTTTTAGTTAAGATAACAGTTCTGAAAGATACTGCCATAGAAAATTGGTGAATGGAGAACAGAGAATAAAACCTTATTTTAGCATTTCATTTTGAATTTTAATAGCAATGGTAATATTTATATTCAGTGAGAAGTATTATTATAATGCACCGAGTCTGCTTATACAGTCTGTGTACGAAGAGAATATTTTAATTTAGCTAGATATTTGAACATTAGGTTTAATGTTTTATGTTGTTGCTGTAGATAGCACTAAATTTTTGAGGTTTATTTATTGTTTTGTGGGTTCTTTTTTTTCAGAGAGAACCATATTCAGGAAGCAACTTTCTATGCAGTGAAAGCAGCAGTGATGATGAAGAGCCTTTATTTCAACTATCCAAGGTGGAACTGTGTGCCAAAATAAAAAGTCTCAAGAGGAAGCTGACAGACACCATGAGAGAAAACTGCCGCCTGAGGCAGTCCCTGGTGATGCTTCAAGGTACAATCAGGGGAATTTTTTGATGAAAAGGGAAACCTGGAGGTCATGAAAAGCTTTATTTATAGGAGACTGTCTGAAGAGAAATTGTGGATGCTCGAGCACTTGATGTGATCAAGGTCTACTGTTAGCACCAAAGTCTTTAATACATAGGAACATTTAATTCCAGCAGCACTGGATTTAAAAAACAACAACAATGAAAACCAAAAACAACTGTCTTCTGTGGTGGCCATGAGATCATAGTTAGAAATGGAAAAATGTAACTCCTGATGGTTGGTTTGAAGAAATCTGTCTGTATGCCATATATAACCATCAGCTTAGTTTAAATACTCCACTGACCAGTCCAACATACACTGTTTTTTAATCTTTTTGAGGTTTTTCTTGATCAACTGAGATTTTCTTTATTCTGGAGTGATTTAATTTCTAATTACTTTAGAAATTCCTCATTACTGATAATCTGAACTCATTTTACAAAAAATTTAGTCCTTTTCCAGAATATTTTTACATCTATTTTTTTTAATAAATGAACCCTTAATCACAGTCATCTCTGAAGTCCCTCTTACTTCTTCTTGTTCCTTACTCTGGAGCAGCTGAAACAGGATCTGAAATTTTAATACATTAGTGGAGGAGGTTGAAAGACTTGCTGCTCCCCTTGCCAGCTTCCTTACAGCATCCTTAGACTGCCTCATGTTTCTTTGTCATACAATTTTGCAAGCACTTACCAGTTTCTTTGACCATATAACTCTATTCCATGTTATTCACCTTGACATGAATCATTCATCTCCACCTTTCTGAATGTTATTTTTAAACATTTTGTTAGTCTGACAACTTTCCATACATATTTAGGCTCATTTCCCTTGCATCTTGTGCAATTCTATTAGTCTTTTACGCTGTTTTCTAATAATTTAGTGATTCTTTGCCCCTTGCATCCTTTTTGTTCTGCTGAACTGATTATTAATGAACTAAATAAAAATTTGTTTTTGAAAGTAAATATTGTTTGGAGAAAGAACATGCAAAATATATCTGATATAAACTAAAAAAAAAAAGTCTATGCAGTTGTGTAACTGCTTTGAAACAAGCCAAAAAAAAAAAAAGAAAGAAAGAAAGAAAAGAAAAGAAATAGCAAGCTTAGTGCCCAATGGGCATGAACTAATGATTCTTCTCAGCAGTGCAGAGAGCTGGTCTACCATATTCCAAAAGCAGATGCCAAATCTTCCTGGATGGGGACAGCAAAACAAATGAAAGTATTTGAGAGAATAGAAACAGAATGTGCTAAAGCATCTTTGCTGACCACTTGGAGTCTTTTTGCAGTATGACAGGAATCTAACCGCAAAAATATATATGCTTCTGTAATGAGTCTGAAAGCTTTAATTATCCATCACTTTTGATTTTATTTCAGTGTTGCCACAGGCAGTCACTCATTTTGAGGAACTGGTAGGCATGGCTGAAGCACTGCTCAAAGGGGGAGTGACAACATCTACATCGAGTCTTCATTCACATGCTGTTTGGAAAGCATCTAACAACTCTTTAGCAGATGTGTATGCAGCTATGCATAGTAACTCCAGCTCACCAATATCTTTGAATGTAGAAGATGAGGAGCAACCAACTGAAAAACAGGTCAGATAGAAAGCAATTTCAAGCATAAAAAACAAATCTCAATATACTACAAAGTTTATTGATGCAGTATAATGAACTTAAGCATTGGTAAATGTCATTTTATCATCATGCCCTTTTTGTACTGAGGCTCTTTCTGTGAGAAACACTGGGCTTAGTTCAGCATTCTGGTACACTCTCAAACTGATGTCAGTGGCTTTCCATGTCTGTAACTAAGGGCAGAATGTTGATGCATGAATTAAATACTGAGATCCAGAGATAACTTCCTGCCTAATGTTTTGGAATCCAAACAGGAACAGAAGTGTTTCAGAGATAGTCTTAAGAAAAATGCCAGCAATTTGTCAAAACTATTAATAAGTAAATAGAGACTTGTATGTTACTACTTTTGTTTCCAGACAGTTAAGTAGAAATAGATATATACATAGTTACTGAATAAAGCTGTTCCTCAGTTCTCCATGATTGTAACAAAGCATAGATGAGAGCTCTGAGCCACAAAGGCTGTAAAGAATAAAGACTCAAGAGAAAGAATAGTTAGTGGGGTACCAAAAAACAATGAAATCTGTTAAGAATTATCAAGGTATCATGATGTGATCTCTGAAGAGATATAAATTTTCTGAGCAACCTAGACATGCCTTGATAGAAGTGATTCAAAATTGCACATCAGAGATTTCAAATATTTTCTGTACATCTGTGGTGTGCAGAAATTACTCTCAAAGCCTAGGACCAGATGTCACAGTTCTTAGGGCATGTCTACTCAGAGGCAGAAATATTAGTTGGGCATAGTGCCATGCTCCCGAAGCTGTACAGATTGCAGGCCAGAACTGGATCGCATCCAGCTTGCATGGAGTGCAAACAGAAGGATTCAGATATGTCTGAAAATGTCCTGTCTCTGCTAGTGAGTAATAAGGGCTGCTTGATGAACTGTTTGCTATTATGTATAGGGATCTTTAGTCTGGTACATGCTTGCTTCTGAAAAAAAACATCTATACTTGTGTACAGTTCCAAACACTGAACAGTGTGCAAGTTTAAAAGTTGATCTCAATTGCAGTTTGTGGAGGGATTACTTTTGAAATTGTGGTAAAGGAAAGAAAATACACTTTCAAAAAATAAAAAAGACAATACTGTATATAATTTGTAGTGAACTACAACAGTTATGTCAGTGACCAATTTTGTTTTCCAGTTCAAGATTGAGAAGTGGCAGATCGCACTTTGTAACAAGAGCAAACCTCAGAAGTTTATAAACGACTTGATGCAAGCACTTTATACGCATGAATACATGGCTACACACAGCCTGACAGGTGCAAAGTCATCCTCTTCAAAGGATAAAGCAGCGAAACCAGCTATGAATCAGAATGAAGTTCAGGAAATCATAGGTGATAACTTGTTAACATTACTCAATATGGCACTGATTTGACAGAGGGCTGTCTCTGATGGAGGGTCACTAATACTTAACAGCTGTTCTACCCAGGTTATGTGTTGTTTTACATTTCCTTCTTTGTCTCCATGTTTGTTTTTTTTTTTTCAGTCCATCTGTTAGGAACTCTGTCAGTGAAGTGCTAAGTAGTTGTACTTCTGTTGTATGGATTTTGTGGTGTTAGTGATTACTCAGGAACAGTGATATTATCACTGTTTTTAGATTTTTAAAGGGCTAATGTGCAGTGGTTGAACTTGGACCATGGCAGTAATAGGTAAAGAAAATGGAAGGCAAAGAGAAGACACACTCAGATCAAATTTAAAACAATGTCTGCTCTATTCTGAAGTTAGTGAACATTAAAAATTTTGACATTTTAAATACTGCTTGAGGCAAAATGAGATACTAAGTATGGGAGACAGGAACAGGGATCAAAGAAGCAAGCAACATTTGTTTTATGCTGAGGTTTAAGGCAGAAAATGTTTGGTGATTAGGATAGACAACCAGTTCAGATGCAAGTAGCTGATTTAAAGAAAACAGTGTTTGGAGAGCACGTGAAACTTGATTTTTACTGGATTCACAACTGTAGCTTAATACTTTAATAACATAGCCCAAATTCCTGTACCAAAATCCCTCCCCCATGGTCATTCCCTCAGACTATGCCAGTTCACTCGGTTCCCTTCCCAGTTTGTCTTCATTTCCTGTACCTCTGTCCAGTTTTGTTGAAGTTGGCTGGCGGTTTCAAAAGTTATCAATAGGATACTGATGGTACAGTTGTGTAAGCTTCTTTTCCTTGAAAATATACCCAGAAAAAGAGGCCTAAAAGTAGAACAGAGAAGGAAGGAGTGTGTAAAGTAGTGAAAATTTAGACGAGGTAAGATGAGACAAATTCAGAATGCAGTATAAGAAAAATGAGTAAGATTTATTGGGAAGATCTACTAGTAACTTTTCTAAAGGGAAAGAGCTAGGCAAAACTGAACAAGGAAGCAGGGAAGACAATCAGAACACTGAATACTGCGTGCTGTACAGAGTTCAGTGATGCAGAGAGCCTAACTGAGAAGTCAGAGAAGTTTGTTAAGAGAAATGAGAACGTTCCTGAATTCAAACAAAAGTGTCAACATTATGGAGGAAGAGAAGAAAAATAAGAAGGTATTTTTGGGAATTCTAGGAAATGAAAGAGGAGGAAAAAAATCAAGGGCAGTGAGGATTATGAAGGAACTTCATTAATTGCTGATGTTAAGTCCTGCTACTGCTGCACTCAAAAAAGTTAGATGAAAAATAGAAGGGAAAATTGTGCGACGGACGCATTTTCTGCAAAATTAATGAACAAAACCTGTAAGATTCAGAGGTGTGAGAACTCACATGGATAGGAATAGGTCTCTGACGAAAACAAAGCAAAGGAGAGAGAATGAGCACACTTATGCTGGAAGCTCTTGTTCCTTTTGAGTAAGCCAACAACAAGCACGGAAATATGCAAGACAGAGAGAAAAGCAAAGTAGATGAAGTAGTGAATAAAGACAGAAAAAAAAAACTAGAGCTGAAGCTGAAGTAGCTAGAAATTTCAAAGATGCAATAAGTACATTTTAGATCATGGATCTGTGGTTTCCATGTTTTGGTGGACTCATATATGCCATCTCTTTACTTATTTTGCAGGAATTACAAAACAGTTGTTTCCAAACACAGACGATGCTTTAATTAGGCGAATGATGGGACAAAAACTGAACAATTGCACCAAGAAGCCAATTTTAAGCAAAGATCTTAACTCAGGTGCTTTTCAGAAGCATGGTTTTTGGTAAGTCTTTTGTATATACTGTAGCCTGCAACGTGGAATTCCATGTACCGCCCTGTAGTAACAAAAACTAAAAGCAATCTTAATTTTATTTTATGAAGATACATGTTCACATATGAATTGCCAAATAGGTTAATATTTTCATAACTTTGTACAAAGAGTACATAATTCTAAAACAGAAAGATTGTTCATTCTACATACAGCATCACAAATTACAGGAGAAGACAGAAGTAAATGCATGGCGTTACTTTGATCAATGTATGTTTCAGATTTACCATTATCTGCCTTTCTTATCACTTTCTATAGACTCTTCATAGACCAGGCAATGCCATTTCATGACAACTGTTGTGCCTTAATTAAACTACAAGTAAAGACAGAGAAAATAGTTACCTGTTTAGTACCTGCGATAAAATTACTGTAGGAGAACTGAACTAACATTCTTTTACCAACAGAAAAGTTTAAATTATCAAGGTAAGGAATTGTTAATTAACATCTTTCTTATTATAGGCATATTTAACCCTATGACCAGGACTAATTGAAAATTGCTGAATTCATCTCTATTGTCAATCAGCTATTTGTATACTACAGTTTCTATATGTATGAAACATACGTATCACAATAGTTGGGGTTGAGAAGGACATCTGGAGTTCGTCTGTTCAAAACCCTGCTTTTCAAAGCAGGATTACCTAGACCATCTTTCTCAGAGCTGTCTTCAGCTGGGCTTTGAATATACCCAAGGATAGTGCTCCACTATCTCTCCAGACAACCTGTGCCAGTGCTCAGTCACCCCTCACAGTGGAAAAATGTTCATAAGTTCAAGTTTCTATAAGCCTTTGTAACAAAAATCTTATTTGGTGAGAGTGTGCAGACACATCTTAAGTCCTTGTAGAGAAAAATATGTGTTAGATTGTATGTATACATATACTATGCATACACCATCCCCCCCTCCAGAAGAGTATAGATAGCTCTTCTGGGAATGATGGGATGAACAGTACAAGAGATTAGAATCAGTCAGACAGGGATTTGTTCTTAGACTTTCCATGTAAAATATTGTTTCTTTATGATTTAGTTATAGTATGCATGTTTCAAATACATATTTACAACTATAATTTACTATAAAACAAAACTGAAGATATTTGACTATGATACAAACACCATTGTTTGAAAAGTAGCAGCGCTTTACTATTAAAATTCCTCTCTAAACCACCTTCTTTGTGGACCACCAGATGTCTATGAATTACTACTTGACACACACAGGTTTTCTCATCTCTAAACAGTAAACAAATGTACCAGCCTACCTAGAATACAGTTTACAGTGTTAATATTTTTCTCCTACCCCTCATAAAACAAAGGTCCTCTGTATTTGTAACATATAGAGCGCCTTCATTCACTGTAGTACTCTTCCTTGTCCTTGACCCAGAAGATAAAAATAACAGCGTAGAAGAACAGGCTTAGTCTTCTCAAAAAATATAAAATGCTAAATACATTATATTTATTTTCTTTGTCTTCATCAGATGAATCCACAAATGTTGTGAGTTCTAGTGTCTTCCAATGCTGTACAGGCCCGGTATTCCTGGAGTCCTGCCAGGAGGGTCTTGAGCTAGCACAGATACAGTTCTGACTTGCTTTTTAATGCTGCCTGAAGACCTTTCAATTTAAACTTGATATCTTAAAATAAATAACAATAAATATTGTTCACATGTGCTTATGCAAAATTCATTCCAGTATCCATTGAAATCAAGGCAAGTACTGTCTGCGTAGTTTCTCTTGAATGGATGCTTTTTAGAACTTGTTTGTAATGGTTTAATTTTACACCTGTTCAGAATTTCTTCACTCTAAAGGCATTTAAATACTGTGTAACCAATCATCTCCAGGGTAACGGTGGTGTTTCCTTTAACTCAGGCGGCACAAATTTTCTCTGTAGGAAAGTCATGAAAATTTAAGTGCTCACAGTCTCAAAGTTCCACTTTGATTCACTTCAAGAAAAAATCCTACTGTGCAGAGCCTTAGTCAAACTTATAAGTTAGTAACAAATTGGTTATAAACTATCAAACTGGTGATACTACGTTATCTCCTCATTCCCCTGTTCACCTTTCTCCAGCATATAGTTATGAATTTGGATTAAAGTCTGAGACAGACTACTGTAGTCTCAGATCTATTAGGCTGAGGTGAAACAATGAAAAAGGGAATGCAGAAAACTAGTTAGCTAGCTAATAAACTCTGCTGCTTGGAAACTAAGTACAGTAGTAATTGCACATTTAATGTTAACATTGCACACTCGGTTATAAACTGTCTTGACAGTGGTTCAGCAGCTGCTTCTCAGGGCATCATCCCTTTGGCTGTTCCTCCCAGCACGCAAGACCAGCAGGATGATGATACAACAGCTGCTAATGCACAAATTCAGCAGAGCCACAGCCATCTGACTCATCCACCTCTCAGCACCCAAGGTGAGCAGGAGTGTTTCAAACCTACTTCTGAGGTGGAGTCTCATCTCTCCAGAAGCTCACAAGCGCCCTCTGCCAACCAGGGTTGTGGACAGGATCTCAGGAATTCAGACAAGGAATAACAGAATGTACTTCATGCCAACTCAAGTTCCCGTTGGAGATGAAGGAATAATATAAAATTAAAATGAAATAATATTTATTGGGCCTAGCACCATTGGACAGAAATACTGCAAGTAAAGTAGAAGCTTGAGAGCCAATTCCTCAAGTGAAAATCCCCCAGCTTAGGAAAAATGAAGGCATATTAATATATTTGGCTTTAAGATATTATTAAATAAATGCATGTTATACTGTAATTCAAAGATATATAAACTTGATCCAAAGAATGCAAGACCTGCTCCCCTTAGTTAGAAAAACACTGCATTATTTAAAGTAACACCAAGAGAATTTGTAAGAGGATCCTTAATTCCCTTGCTTTCACCTTGACAGCTGATGGAAAACTGCTTTACTGACCAGAGAAAGCCATTACATATTGATACAAAAGAGATACGGAAGTATGAAAAGAAAGACAATACATATTTGAGGATGCTGTTAACTTAGAAGGAATAAAAAATCCCAGGGCAGTGAAACTATACTTCCTGAGATGTCTGCAAGAAAAAAAACAGCTCATTTTTAACCTCCAGAAGTTGGAAAGGCAATGAAAGAAACCTCATTCTTTCTTAGTTCAGGAAAGAGCGCCCTAGGATAGCTTGCTGGATTGTGGAGGCCATGGCTTCCCTCATAGGCTTTTTGATGCCGTTGCTTTGGTTTGCAGCTCTCATTCTCTCTTCCCTGACCTCTGGGTCCAGAAGATAAAGGTAACAGTTCCCCCAGCCAAAAAATGGAAGATAATCTCTGGAAAACAGCTAGTAAAGGACAGAGCTGTCAGCTCTTTCTCTGTATGTCTAGATTTTGGTACACTAAAGAGAGTAGGTGGAGAGGTAGAGCTTGTTCCTCATGGTGTTGGCACCAGAAGTTCTCCATCAGCTAGGTGGTTCCTCTTGAGCTCTGACATCATTGTCCCAGGGGTACAACTAGTCATACACCCTGTAATTGCCTGAGAAGGAGGAATGGTACATTTTTTTTTTTTCCTTTGTGGACTGATTCCAGTTTGTTCTGTAGTGTGGGAAAGAGAAAATGCTTGGATTATAGCCTTCACGCTTGAGTGTATTTCTTCCAGAACAGAGAGTACTAACAGTTAAATCTATTTCATACTTGGCAAACAAGCAATTAATGAATCAAGATGAGAAAAAAAAACAAAAAACAAGACCAAAAAAAAAAAAAAAACACCAACCATGACTAACTTCATTTGAGGACTTCTAGAACTAGAAACAGTATAAGGGTGAATGCAAGGAAAAAAATCAGAAGGTATGGTTAGCAACTGAATGCCTCTGAAGAGAAGTGCTGCAAACCTTCCTCTATTAGAACAATGCACTAATAAAATACACTGTAGAGAAGACTTCTGGATGGGATGAAGGATAACTAAAGTGATCTACTAGCCTCATTTATCTTTAATGTCTATCAATTCCTTGTAAATAGGATTAAGATGAAAGAAAATAGGACAATGTGATGTAAATTCCACCTCACTGCCATGCATCAAATGTAACTGGAGGATGTTTGCTATTATATATATTTTGTATATGTATCTGTATATACAGCATACAAGAATGTATATAATTAATCATATTTTTGAAGCAGATTTCTATAAAATAAAATGAAACATTACTATGTCTTAGTTCTTTTCTTAAAACCAAAGGTAAATAGGGAGGACGATGTGAAGAATCTGTTCCTCTCTCTTCCCTGAAGCATATGACTGACATTATCCATGGCATAAAACAAGATAAATAGCTTTTACCCAAGAAACAGAAAAGCTGCAGTTGGTTCAAGGTGACTGCAAAGGAAGAAAGGATGACTGGTCTTCCAAAACAGCATGGACAAACTCAGAGAACACAAAATTGAAGACTCAATAATTACAGCTTAGAAACTGCAGAAGTAACAGAAGGAGAGGAAAAGGCAGAACAGTTGAACACTGCTCTCAAATTTTGCAGTAAAATCAAAATTAATTGGCAGTGTGTAAATGTGTCATGTCACATAGTGTAAGATTCTGATATGTGTGATAGAGGACACATTATCTTCATTACTCAGCACCAGAGAAGGCTGACAGCTACTGCAGGAAAGCATAAAGCAATATGACTGCATAGCATTTAGAGAGACTACTGGAGATTCAGTACTGAAAATAAAGTAAGCAACGCTAAAAACAGTCACTTGAACTATTTGCTTTTATTACTGCATTTTAGATTGAATTTAAGATTACAATAGAAAAGTGTACACTTTGTGTTATAAACTGCTTATTAAGAGCACCTACCTGTTCTCTAACAAGGGAAGATACTACAGTATGCAAAGAATGGAGTAAAAACCTTACTGTAATAATACAGTGGAGAATAAGCAGTGTTCTCAGTGGTTTTCATGCATGTCAAGTTCTTATCCTCTCAATATGGTATATAGGTAGGATTCAGAAAATATACGTCAATATTTTACAGATGAAGAGTAAATGGCATTGTGCAGTGTTAATGCTAGAGGAAAATCAGTGGTTAAAAAGGCAGTATTTCATTTTAAGGACAAGGAAAGAAACATGGAAATTCAAATGTTTAAATTCTATGAAAGAAAGCAATGATTTTCAAAGCATATAATAAGTACATGGTTGCCAGAGAATATTACTGAATCTCTGAGAAGGTCTGCTCAGGAACAGCTTCCACATCCTCTGTAATCCCAACTTCGTTTGGAGGTTTGGATGTGGGGATTTTAGCTCATCAACAGCAGACCAGGAGTAGCTGCACTTTCCTATGTTTGTCTCATGCCACCTTGGGTAATTTGCTAAAAAAACTGGGTACTCATGCAAGTGAGACAGTGAATCTGCCTTGAAGATGGCCCAACAGCCAAGAACTTCATCAGCCTACATCTTTCCTCTTTTGCATGAAAAAAGTCTGCATAAGAATTGTCAAAAGCTCACCCAAACCAGGAAGCCTGTGCCTTCCCAATAATTACCTCAAATACTGTACTTTTTGAATCAAAGTTTTGTTGGCATACTGTAAAAGCTGACATTACTGCATGTATCAGTTCTCACACTATTCCTTTTTTCCTTAATTCTTTGCATACCTAGAGGATGTTTGGATCCTCTTGGTCTGCAAAAGCAAGTACACTTCATTCACATGAGCTACTGCTGAAAAGTTCATATTCAAATGAGAGTCATTGTCATAGGGCATCAGTTTGAAAAAATCCTGCCACCTTGTTGTTCTTCTAGTAACCCACTATTACTGCACTTTGCAATATCTATACTCATAAATAAAAAGTAATTAACTGCAAATGCAAGCTACAAATAAAGTGGCTGCTACCAACTACCTATTAGCACACTGAAGTTAGAAATGCAATATATGAAAGTCAGGGCATCAACAAGACTTCAATGTTCAAAGTAGCAGTCATTTTTCTGTTACTTTAACAATGAAATAAAACTCATCAAATCAGTGTCTACATAGCCTAACAATAGTTATTAAGTTGTTAAATTTCTTAACTAGTATATTATAATCAGCAGTCAAACAGGAAAAAAGAAAAACACGTAGATCATTTCTTATAGGGAGTGATAATTTTGAGTTCACGGAACAGCAAATCCAGAAATAGACAGAAAAAAATAAGCCATTAATAATAGCCATTGTGTAAATTTAGAAATACAGATTCATAGAATCTTTTGAATTGAAAGGGACCTTTAAAGGTCATCTAGTCAAACTCCCATGCGCTGAACAGGGACACCTACAACTAGATCAGGTTGCTCAGAGCCTCGTCCAGACTGACCTGGAATGTCTTCAGGGATGGGGCATTTCTGGGCAATCTGTTCCAGTGCCTCACCACCCTTTATCATAAATACTTCTTCCTTAATCCAATCTAACCCCCCCTTTTTTTTAGTTTGAAACCATTTCTCCTTGTCCTATCACAACATACTCTGCTAAAGAGTCTGTCTCCTTCCCTCTTACAGGCCATCTTTAGATACTGAAAGGCTGCTATCAGGTCTCCCTGGAGCCTTCTCCAGGCTGAACAGCCCCCACTCTGTCAGCCTGTCCTCATAGGAGAGCTGTTCCATCCCTTGGATCATTTTTGTGGCCCTCCTCTGGATACACTCCAACAGACCCATGTCTCTCCTGTGCTGAGGACTCCACATCTGGACGCAGTACTCCAGGTGAGGCCTCACCAGTGCAGAGTAGAGGGGCAGGATCACCTCCCACAACCTGCTGGCCACGCTTCTTTTGATGCAGCTCAGGATACAGTTGGCTTTCTGGGCTGCAAAGCACATCGCTGGCTCATTTCCAGCTTCCCATCCACCAGCACCCCCAGGACCTTTTCAGCAGAGCTGTGCACCATCCTTATATTTCCCAGCTTGTACTGATAGCAGGGGTTGCTACAACCCAGGTGCAGGACTCTGCACTTAGATTTATTGAACCTCGTGATGTCTCTGAGTGGCATCCCATCCCTCGGATGTGTCAACCACACCACACAGTCTGATGTCATCTGCAAACTTGCCGAGGGTGCACTCAATCCCACTGTTGTCATTTGTGAAGACATGAAAGAGCACTGGTCCCAGAACTGACCCCTGAAGGATACCACTCATCACCAGTGTCCATCGAGACACTGAGCCATTGACCACCACTCTCTGGGTATGCTCTTACAACCAGTTCCTCATCCATTATGCAGTCCACCCATCAAATCCATATCTTTCCAACCTGAAGAGAAGGACGTTATGAGTTACTGAACCCAAGGCCTCAGTGAGGTTCGGATAGATTACATCAGCATCTTTTCCCTTGTCCACTGACAAGAGTTACACCATCATAAAAAGCAACAAGTTTTGTCAGGTAGGACCTGCTGTTGGTGAAGCCATGCTGGTTACCCCATATCACCTCGCTCTCTTCCATGTTCATTAGCATAACTTCCAGGAGGATCTGCTCCATGATCTTCCCCAGCACCAAAGTGAGGATAATAGGTCAGTAGTTCCCTGAGTCATCCTTTCTATCCTTCTTAAAAGTGGGTGAGATTTTGCCTTTCTTCCAGTCATCAGGACTTCACCTGACCACCATGACTTTTCAAGTATCATCAAGAGTGGCTTGGCAACTACATCAGCCAACTCCCTCAGGACTTTGGGATGCATCTCATTGGGACCCATAGACTTATGGATGTTCAGGTTCCTCAGGCAGTTGTGAACCTGAGTATGCCCTCAGACTCTTCTTTTCACTGTGTCCATCTCCTGTCATAAAGCTGTGCTTCCAATGATACGTGAAATGAAGCTTTAACAGGGCAGTAACTTTTTAAAAGTGCACTACATTAATGCTGTCATTAAGTACCATGTGATGTATTATTTCTTCACAAAGCTTCCAGAACACCAGGCATTAATGTACTACCCTGAATTCTTTCTCTCTGTATACAGAATTTAATAAGTACTGGAAGAGTTCTGTGTGCAGCCAGCTCTTTTGTGTAGACATGCAAGTTGATACTGCTCACGCCAGTTAACTCCAAGGCAGTGCACTGAACAAAGGTGATTCATACCAAATTTTACTCTGGGTAGCTCAAAATAACGATAGAGTGAAGGAGGAAAGCAAGAGCAGACACAGTTGCACACCTAGAAGGCAGAAAGCAAGTTGAAAAGAACACAAACTAGTTTTAGCTGCATTTATTTGGGGATATCATTGTTAAATTACAGGTGTTCAATAACCAGCATTTAATTCATTAATGCTCACAAGGGCATTTCTGGTCATTTCTCAGCAGCAGAGCCTACCACAGACATCCCAAAGGCCTACAGGCTGCTCCCACCACAGCTGCTGAAGTGCATTCTGACAAACCCAGGCAAGGCACTCAGATTTGAAAGGAAAGGTTACAGAGCACCAGAGCGATACTTCATTTGTGAGTCTTTCCGCATGCCCCAGAAGGTCTAGTTTTTAGGCTTTCACCAGGGATGCCTTCTGGACAAACGCATGGAGCTCCAAGCACACCAGCACTTCAGGAAGCTCCCAGAGGTGCAGTGTGCAGGTTAACACCACTTCCACCCCTTACTATGACTGGACTGAGACATGGCATCTCCGGGACTGGAGGAGGGAGCCCCAGAGTCCTGCCATGCCAGCGCTTCACCCTCTAAGAATCACAAAATTACAGAATCACAGAACGGCCAGGGTTGGAAGGGACCTCCTTCATGATCAAGGGATCATGAAGCTCCAACCCCCCTGCCACATGCAGGGCCACCAACATCCTCATTTACTGCTAGACCAGGCTGCCCAGGGCCCCATCCAATCTGGTCTTGAACAGCTCCAGGGACGGGGCATCCACAACCTCTCTGGGCAGCCTGTTCCAGCACCTCACCACTCTCTCTGTAAAGAACTTCCCCCTGACGTCCAACCTAAATCTTTCCTCCCTCAACTTAAAACCATTTCGTTCCCCTTGTCCTGCAGTTGTCTACCCTTTCAAAGAGTTGACTTCCTTTCTGTTTGTAGGTTCCCTTTAGGTACTGAAAGGCTGCAATGAGGTCACCCCACAGTTTTCTCCAGGCTGAACAAGCCCAGCTCCCTCAGCCTGTCCTCATAGGGGAGGTGCTCCAGTCCCCTGATCATCTTTGTGGCCCTCCTCTGGACCCTCTCCAACAGCTCCCTGTCTTTCTTGTACTGGGGGCTCCAGACCTGACGCAGTACTCCGATGGGGCCTCACAAGAGCAGAGCAGAGGGGGACAATCATCTCCCTGTCCCTTCTTTTGATGGCTCCCAGGATACCATTTGCTTTCCGACCTGGGAAGAACCGTTCCTAACGGGGGCAGCAGCGGTGGCTGCACAACGACGCGCCGCGAGCCTCCCGGCGGAGCGCGGGGCGACAGGAACAGCCAACCCGGCCCAACGGCGGGCCCAGCCGCCTCACTCGGGCCGGCAGCGGCCGCGCAGCCACCACAGCGCGGCGCTCATGGCCCCGCCGCGCCGCCGCCCCCTCCCGCCCGAGCGCCGCTTCGTCGTGCTCGGCCCCCTCCGGAAGCGTCGTGCGCGCTTCGCCGCTCCGCACAGGAACTGCGCTCAGGCGAGCTGAGGGAGGAGCGCGGGGGATGCGGAGCTTGTGGAGGGAAGAGCGCCGGGAAGGGAGGGGCCGTGCCGGCAGCACCTGCCGTGGGGGTGGGGGGGGAGCTGGGCGAAGCGGGCGGCGACTACAAGTCCCGGCGAGCCGCGCCGCGCTCCCACCCCACCGCTCCCGTCGTAGCCGCCCCGAGGGGAAGAGGAAGCGGCGGAAGGGGCGGTGGGTGGCTGCGGGGTGAGCGGAGCGGCTGAGCGTCGCGTCGCGTAGCGTGCCGCTGGGCGGGGTGAGCCTGGCTGCAGCGGGAAGGCGGGCGGTGGGGCCTGCTGGGTTAGGCCGCGGTTTGCGTGCCGCTCTGGGGGTGGGGGGAGGCGGTGCGGGTCGGAATTGACCGCTTGTAGTTCTGTAGTGCTGGAGATGGCCTGCTGGGGGGAAGCGGGCTGCGAGCCCGAAGCAGACACGGAACTGAAAAGGTGAAATTAAAGCAAACTTCATCAAATGATGAGGCGCGTTTTGGTTTGTTTCTCTGTAGGTGATGGAGTCTTGCAGCTCTACCAGCGTTTCTGAGAGCAAATCGCCGACTTCTGAAAGTGAAGATGAGATAGAGTTTGTTGGAGTAAGTATATCTGGAACGGGGCAATGTGCTGCCTGCTGTAGTAAGTGCGCTCTCAGCAGCGTGACCAAATGGGGGCAGGTCTCTGAATTTCATGTTCATTTTATCTTAAAAGAACACTTTAGGTTTCAGATTTAAAGATTTTTTCATTTGGAAATCTTTGGGGCTTCGGTGTTGGCTTTAAAGATGGTTTTGCTTGGAAATTTTTGTGGCAGATAACAAATTTACCATAGAATGGTCTCGGTTGAACAGGACCACAATGATCATTTAGTTACAACCTCCAGCTATGTGCTGGGTCACCAACCACCAGACCAGGCTGCCCAGAGCCACATCCAGCCTGGCCTTCTATGCCTCCAGGGATGGGGCATCCACAGCCTCCTTGGGCAACCTCTTCCAGTGTGTCACCATGCTCTGAGTAAAATACTTCCTCCTAATATCTAACCTAAACCTCCCCTGTCTCAGTTTGAAACCATTCCCCCTTGTCCTGTTACTACCCACATTTATTTTAAGGGGGCTTTTAGCCATTGCATTGTAAAAACAACAGGTGATGTCTCTTGGTTCCACGAAGCAGCACATAGCATGAGTGGAGATGCAGAGTGGTCAGTGGGATGTATGAGGTCATCCACTTGTCATCATCATAGATGACTTTTCCAGCAATCACACAATGTTTTGTTTAATGAGTAGTCTCACTGAAGTTAATAAAATGAAGCTGCTGCAAACTCTGCAAAAAGACATCCAGATACCTTTGTTTAGAGACATACAATCATAGAGTTAGAGTTGGAAGGGGCCTTTAAGATCACCTACTTCCAACCCCCCTGCAGTGGGCAGGGACACCTCCCTCTAGACCAGGTTGCTCGCAGTCCCATCCAGCCTGCCCTTAAATGCTTCCAGGGAGGGGGCATCCACAGCCTCTCTCAGCAACCTGTTCCAGTGTCTCACCATCCTCACAGTAAAGAATTTCTTCCTAATATCTAGTTGTAATCTACCTAGTTTAAAACCATTTCCTCTTGTCCTTTCTCTACCTGCCTTTGTAAAAAGCCCCTCCCCAGCTTTCCTGTAGGCTCCTTTCCGGTACTGGA